CAATCTGTAAAATGGGGGTAATAGTAATTTCCCAGCATGCAGGGGCTTGTGAGGCAGGAAAGCATGAGTGGGAGGTGCTGACATGACATGGTGATGATGACAAGATCATGTTTGTTAAAAGTAGCTTTTCCTTGCTAGAAAGTGCAGCTAATCCCAAGCTGGGAGGGGTTGCAAGTGCTTTGGAGGATAGGATTAAAATTCAGAATGAGCTAGACAAACTGTGTGAAGTAAATAGGATGAAATTGAATAAGAACAAATGCAAAGTCCTCCCATTAGGAAGGAACCATCAGTTGCACACCTACAAAATGGGAAATGACTGCCTAGGAAGGAGTATTGCAGAAAGGGATCTGAGGGTCATAGTGGACACAAGCTAAATGAGTCAGTGTAATGCTGTTGCAAAAAAAAAAAAAAGCGAATGTCATTCTGGGATGTATTAGCAGGAGTGTTGTAAGCAAGACTCGAGAAGTAATTCTTCCGCTCTGCTCTGATTAGGCTTCAACTGGAGTAGTGTGTCCAGTTCTGGGTGCCACATTTCCAGAAGGATGTGTACAAATAGAGCATCCAGAAAAGAGCAACAAAAATGATGAAAGGTCTAGAAAACATGACTTGAGGGATGATTGAAAAAAAATTGGGGTTTTGTCTGGAAAAGAGAAGACTGAGAGGGGACATATCTTTTCAAGTATGTTAAAAGATTGTTACAAGGAGGAGGAAGAAAAATGGTTTTTCTTAACCTCTGAGGATAGGGCAAGAAGCAATAAGGGCGGTTTAGGTTGGACATTAGGAAAATCTTCCTGTCAGCGTTGTTAAGCAGTGGAATAAATTGTCCAGGGAGGTTGTGGAATCTCCATCATTGGGGATTTTTAACAGCAGGTTAGACACAAACCTGTCAGGGATGGTCTAGATAATTAGTCCACCAGGAGCGCAGGGGACTGGACTAGATGACATCTCAAGGTCCCTTCCAGTTCTATGATTGCGGGAAGGAAAATGCTTTAGCAAAGCCTGCAGGAAATTGAGACCTCCTAAAACCTCAACGACCACTAGGCAAGCAACTGGAGAGGTTGGCAGTACCCAAACGGCTGTTTGACGCAACATTAACAGGGGCTGTTGTATTTCAATCAAGGTGCTTGTGAAAATCATGAAAAGCAGTAGCTCATCAACACCTTTTGATAGATCCATGGTGCTGCTTGAGTGCAAGGTTCCATCAACAGATAAAGTAATCTGATGTTTACAGAGGGAGGCCCAGATTTAATTTAAATTCCCCAAGAGTGAGCTGTTCATTTTGCTCTAGCCCATTCAGTCTTGAGCAGTTAAGTTTCATATTAGGCACTGATTGCAAAGGTGGCTCCTGTGCATGTCCCCTCACTCCCAAGAACAAACAAACCACTTGCTACCAAGATCAATGTGTGGCTTACTTTAGAGGTGGAATTTGGAATTGAAAAATTTCTTAATGCTTTAACTGTTGAGGGGGAAGAACAACTTTGATTGTGGTAGTTTAATATTATGGCTCAATGGGTGCAGCTCTCTCCTACAGTGTAGGAATAAAAGGAGTGAGATTCTCTGCTGTTAAATCTACAGTTCCCTTTGGAGTGCTGTATGTGTATGTGTATGTATATGTATGTATATGTATATATATTTTTGCTCATTTCTTCCACCTTTCTCCATTAACAAACTTATCTCTAATAGCCCCCCAAAATGAGCAATGTTGTTTAACCCTAGGCAGCACTAACACAGGTGCCGCAATTAGACTAATTAGAATGGATTCTTCTATTTGATTGAACTCAATCAAAACCCCTTGAGATTTGGTGTCTCGTATTACAGAACCAGACTTACTGTACTTTCCAAGCCTACATTCTTGTCTGTGTGGTATGAGGAAACCACCTAAACATCAGTTGGTTGCTCCTGATTGTTTGAGGGCTAGACTCAGATGATGTAATAGAGACACTTAAGTTTACACCCATTCTTTTCCAACTCCTAGTTGAAATACTTTGTGCATTGTCCTGAGGAAATGCCAAATGCCTGAAGTGGGTCCTGCTCCTTGGCCACTGCATTTATTTTAAAAGAAAATATGGACTATGTTGTAGCTTAGGCTGAGGAATTAAGTTTAAAAAACAAACCCAGGCAGCATTTAGCCAGCACGTGATGCAATGTTTCTAATGCATTTCATTTTCTGCCTTGCTTCAGCAGGTACCTTTATCACACCTGGTTGCTAAGTGTGAAAGAGCAGGGTCCTGTTCCCACTCCAGAAGGGGAGATCAGAGGTGGGAAGTTGGCTTTTAGGCTTACTCAAGTTTTGCACTTTTCCTGAACAGAGGCTGGAGCTGGTCTGAAAACTGAACTGACTCAAAAGAAGGGCTCAGAGTCTAAAGTCTGAGTCACAAATTTGTAGTAAGAAGTGGAGCCTTTCCACTGACAGGAAAAAAGCTGAAGGAGTCACTTTTTGAAAGTGATGGGAAGGAAAAGCCAACACCCTATTGGAGAATCAGAACAAGATTATTTTGAAAAACTGATCAGTTTAAAGCCCATCTCTTCCCTGTAAACTGCTCTAGTGTAAACTACTCCTGGAGCTGGGTAGAGCATAATTATACCAAGCAGGAAGGAAAATTAACTACTCTTAAGGGTTAGGAACAGGGCTTGAGCATTAATTTTCTTTAGTGTTGTGAGACAGATGGGTACCCCTTAGCACTGCATTGTGGAAGTAGGAGTGGAGTTGAGGTTACTTGTTGCTATTTCATCTATTTTTAATTAGCTTAAAAAAAATCCAGTTCCTTCTGTCCTTAGCCTGATTTCCACATTTTTGGAAACACCAGAGAACAAAACAAGCAGGAGGGGGTGGTGGTGATTCAGCTTCTGTATCTGTCTCATCTGCCCTCACCCCCTCATGGTGTGTGGTAGGAAATCAATTTAGACTAATCCTCTGCTGCTTCTGTGGCTGTCTAATTCATTTTCCCTACCTACTTGTGAGTGACTCTGCCTGTGACGAATTAATCTATGGAGAGAAGTTTCACTCCTGAAGCAGTGTGTACCTTACTGAAAGAACTGTGATGAGGCATAGGGGGTAGTGCACCATTGTATACAAAGGAGAGCAGAACCTACTGTTCCAAACCCAGGCCTCTGCTTCACTGTCTCATGTGCAAGCTGCCATGCTGCAAATGGCAGGGAATGACCAGTGAACTGATGCTGTAGCAGACAGACTAGCCTACTCCTTCCTGTGTAGCCTATGAAGATGAACAGTCGACAGCCCATTTGTTGAATCCCACCCAAGCAAAGCATAAAGTAGTAAGACTGTTTAAGGGCTTGTCTAAACACAGTGGCACAGCTTTAAAAATAAAATCAAAGCTTGATGTGAATGTATAGACCAGGCCTAACTTGCAACTATTGACTGTTACACAATTGTGGACACTCCACTAAACAGGAACAGACAGTGTCTGACAGATGAGAGACTGCTGAGCTGGAATTGATATGCAAACTAGATCCAATCACTTTAAGATTGAATAAGGACTGGGAATGGCTGAGCCATTACAAACACTGAATCTATCTCCCCTTGTAAGTATTCTCACACTTCTTATCAAACTGTCAGTACTGGGCTATCTTGATTATCACTTCAAAAGTTTTTTTTTCTCTTACTTAATTGGCCTCTCAGAGTTGGTAAGACAACTCCCACCTGTTCATGCTCTCTGTATGTGTGTGTATATATATCTCCTCAATATATGTTCCATTCTATATGCATCTGAAGAAGTGGGCTGTAGCCCACGAAAGCTTATGCTCTAATAAATTTATTAGTCTCTAAGGTGCCACAAGGACTCCTGTTCTTTTTGTCTCACTCAATTATTGCCTCAGGATCTAGGCCACCTACACCTCCCCCGTGCCAAGCACTGGAGTCTTGAGTGTTCTGCAGCTGGTTAAAAGGAACACAGAGGAGTTAATGCTTGGTCTAGCCCCTACTCAGCTCTACTTTACCTCTTTCCAAAGAGAGTGGGTGGGTAGAATCCAAACAACTGCCACCTGACCGTTCATCCCAATGGTTTGGATCTCTTCCTTGCTGTTCATGTCTTACCTGTACAGCCAGGTGCAGTCTAGACTACAGTGCTGGAGTTCACTTACTGTGAAATCATTAGACTGCACTGCGAAAAAGGACACATTGAAGAGGGGTGAGAAAAGCAGTGGGTTACCTACCTTGAGAGAGAGCTCCATGCGTTCGTTAGTCTAGTTACACACCCGTGCAGGAAGCACTTAATACTTATTACTAAGTACCCTCAACATTAGATATGCAGTCAAAACTCATGTGGATCCTACCAAACTACATTAAGTATTTTAAAGCAAGGAAGTTACTTGCTTCATAGCCGTTGCCATGTTTTACAGAGGCAGAATGTCTCATTTTGTTAGACCAAGAGTAGGGTCAGGTCAGTTACCTTCTGTACAATTGACCTGTGGTTTTAGACAGGGTGAGAGCAGCTGACCTGTGAGAAGGTGGAGCATGTATGCATTTTTGTTAATGGCCACTGCTCTTGGTATTACTTTTTCAAAGGCAAAGGGAGGAAGAGATTCAAGCTGCTTGTGTTGCAAAACAAGCTTTCCGAGGCTCAGAGCAATCCGAACAGGAGGCTGGTGCAAAATCCACAAAGCAGGTGGTTGATTTGTTTCGAGCTTTATTAGAAATGCAGAGGCACTGGGAAAACGTGTGCCAAATGCACAATGGGAAAAGAGACATTTGAAGCACTTAAAGGAAAGTATTAGTTCAACTGCCTGAGACACTCACACCCAATTGAAGTTCAGTGGCACATGGGTGACTAACACCTGTGTGCTAATTAATGCTAGGGTTTTCACAAGAGCTTGAGTGTGTCTTAACCCACCTATGACTCCTCTTCTGACCTGGTTTACACCATTGGTATTTCCCCTTCTTTGCACTAGTGTGAAGTAGAAGAATCAGCAGCATCATCTGTTAAACAAATCCTAGAACTCTGCTTGGATTCAACACAACAAAATTAAACTTCTTAGTAAACTACTTTGCACATTTTTATTTTATTTAAAAGAGATTTAATTAATGGACTAGGGCTGGAAGACATTACCAAAAAACCCTTGTGTGAAAGATGCGTTGTAGTCATTTATTGAATGTTTTTCAGGGAGAGCAAGTTCTTTTGGATCAGAGATGCCTCCTGCTTTGTACATTACCTCCCCCTCCACCCCAAAGTTACAAATCCCCAGTATGCAGTACAAGAAACCAAGGGTAAAGAGCACAGTGATAGCAGTTGGTTTCCCAGAAGGTCATCAAAAAAGCAATGCAAATTAGCATAGTACTGTTGCTGACAAAGAGACCGGACTCCTTGGACAGCACAATATGGTTTTGGACTAGCAATCATATCTCACTGTAGGTCTTCATTTACTTGGAAAAGGACATTCAACTCTGTCGGCATACCATGACCTGCAGCAGGTATTTGCCTTGGGACTGCACCGGCAGGAAGCATGCTGTATTTAAGGGGGGCAGGCAGAAGCGAGAAGGAAAAGTCAATATTGTTCATTCATTGGCATCTGCCATGTCAGTAACATCCATTGCCTGCAATGGAAGTTCTGCTGGGAGCGATCTCAACCCAGCATGCAAAAAAAACCCCAAACCCAAAACAAGACATTATCCCTAGCGTTAAGTGCTATGGGATTTTTAATATTCTTTCAGCCAAAGGGAAAAATGCCTAGTAATTTTAAGTTGTGTCAAGACACATGATTCAAACCTGTAGAAGTTTGCCGATTACCTTACAATTAAAAGATGATTAACTTCTGATGCTCATTCAGCTTTGTATTAAAGCGGCTGCTGGAAGAAGGGCAAACTCCCCTCCCCCAAGCTATTCCAACAGAGGCCAGGTTTAACCCTTCTGTGAATTTCATTTGTACAGTCCACTTTAATGCGAACACTGATCTAGGAGAGGCACTGGGATTTTCCATTGTAAATGGATTAAATGACAGGTACTTTTTTTTTAAATTTTATTTTAAACCCTTACTCTTTGGATGCAATTTCCTAAGTTACTCAGGGTCAAGCAGAGAGCACAGGGGCTGCACAATGACCTATGGATCATGAAATCAGAATGTAAACGGTATGAAAATCCCATGGCCACTCGGACCTGAACAACAAAAGAGAGGCTACAGGACCCAAATGGCTATATCCTAATGTAGCAAAAAGCAGTACCTTTCCCCTCACTCTTCACAGGTTTCAAACAGTTAAACAAACCAATATGGCTGCTGCTCCCCCCCCCCCCCCCCTTAGAGCAGCAACTAATAAAACGGTATCGTTATCCAGGTTTCGAGCTAGAACTGAGCACGAGGATGGGTGTTCTTGCAAAACAGTGTCCCTTAGTCAACATAAAATGACCTGAGAAATGTCCTACCTCCAGACCATTCATTTGGAATTCAGATATATGTACAAAGTCGAAATGGACTGATGACACACACACGCACGCGTGGCACACACACACAAACACACACACGCACCCCCGGCCGTGACAGCCACTGGCTGTGCTCACCTAGGATGTTCTTTCGCATGCTGCTGCATCCTGGCCACCTTTCCCCCTTCGCGTGGCGGACACGAGCGCAGTCAGATTCTAGTTCTCAACTTAGTTCTTTGCATTGTGTATTAATTGTACCAGTGCAATAACATTGTCAAAAAAAAAGGAGAAGCTGCCCCAGGGGAGTCCAAGACCCTGGTTCAGATTCAGAAAAAGGGGAGGGTTTAATTTTTTTTTAAAGCGAGGTACACTTTAAGCAGAGCTCTGTGCTGGGGGGATCTCAGCAGAAGGCATGCTTAGCTCAGCCTCTCTCTCCTCGGAGACCGCGTCTTCTGCTTCCAGCTGTTCGCTGCTCTTCACGGCCTCTTGGAGCTGCTGGCGTCGCTGCACCTCTGCTTTAAGGTTCTCTAAGTCCTTTTGGCTAGGGAGGGAGGGAAGCAGAAAGGGGGGGGGCCTGTATTACAGCCGCTTCAGGAACGTGAGCCGAGGAGGGTGAGCGTTGTTGGGGAAGCCTCTGGGATTTACCAGCAGCTCTTGAGCTGAGTGCCAGGACAGAGTTTCTTGGCTAGTGAAGTCTGGCCGGGCTCAGATCACTGCTCAGCATGGAGGATTGGGGAAGGTTGGGAAGGGATATAAATACCCTGGGCCTTTCCAAGGCTGGATCAGTGCATTTGATTTTGTAATTGCCCCACTGGACTAGTCCTATAGGGCAACAGCTCAAATCCTTCCCAGCCCTGAACCGGGCCATCAGTTTGCTCCCATCCAATTATCTCGACAGTGACTTCTTGTAAACTTCCCTATAGATTTATACCAAACACACTTACAGGCCCTGCTACCTCACCAGTGTCAGATTAATAATCCCTGGGGAACAGGGATTTGCAGAGGCAAACTGATTTTTCCCTCCAACAGCCATGCAGTGGGGCACTGGGACGAGACCAGGGAAAAAGCCCGCCGACGCATGTAACACTCTACCTGAGTGGAATGAAGAGAATTCCATTGATAATGTTGAGCTGCTCCAGCACACTCGCCATACTGGGAGCGGTGAACTAGGGTTAAAAATAAATAAATCCAGTCAGTCATTTGTAAGCCACCCTAACGAGTAGAGAGACCTCAGCATTGACTCACTTGATAATACTTCCTTACCTCCTAGGGGGGCGGAAGGATAAATCAGGTGCACCCGGTACATTTGTACTGCACCTAGCGCAATGGGGCCAATCTTAGTTGGTCCCCAGGCACTACTGTAGTAAACCTGATTAACAGTGCAATACTGGAGGCTACAGAAATGCCCATGTAGACAGGAGAGATGGGAGACAGAGCAGGGCAATAGGACTGACTAGCTATATCAATTTTGGGACCAATTACATGGGGGCTTTTTAATTTCAGGGAATAAGGAGAGATTAAACTTTATGGTCTCTTAGATTTGAGCCATTCCCCCAGAATTTGACAGGATGGGGGCGGGGGGGGGGGGGGAGAATTGGCCTTGGTATATCTAAGGATTTGCCTTAGTCCCTGGCCTGAGAGCGTCACCTAATTCGAATTGCGTCCATAATCTTGCTCAAGATGTTTCATTTTAATCTCTCCAATGCTGTAGCTGAAAAGGGGGAGGGGGGAGGAAGCCACCAGCGATCTGGAAAGCGCAGAGCTGTGGGGCTGTCGACACGAACGCGTTCCTCTCATCCCCAGTGGTTCAGTGCCTCTGCAGAACCAGTGATGGGAACAGCCAGGAACCCAGCAGTACAGTAGCTCCTGCACAGCCAGTCCCAAATAGCACTCGCTGTGTGTGTGTGTGTTTGGGCTTTTCCCAGGCACAGCATGAGAACTTCGCACCCGCAAGGTGCGCGTACAGATAAGAGCAGCTGGTTTTGGAACCAGACTCTTCCCACGTTAATTCCTGCAGTGCTGACGGTTGGGCATGGCCCTGCTAGGATATGATATGCCGTCCAGCCTCCTGTCAGGCTAGCTCTGCCAACACAGTTAGGCCGAACGTTTATTTATGTGGTGCTTGCTTTCCATGGATTTCAAAACGCTTTGCAAAGACCAGGGCCCATTTTACAGAGGAAACGGAGACACCAAGAAGTTAACTGACTCGCCTACGGTCAGAGTGAATTAGCGGCAGAGTCAGAACTAAGGCGTTCCAGGCTCCCAGACTCATTTTCAGCGCGTGCCTGATTCTTTTGTATCGATTTTTCCAGCTGGGACTGACCATGTTGCAGAGCAAATCACCCAACCTCCTAAGTTTAGGGGAGATCAGAAGCCAGCAGGTTCCTAGGCCTTTCTTGCAGTTATCTGACCATGAAACCGCCTGAAAAATTCAAAGCCAACAGCATGTGTGTCACATCGGTGCATGAACTAGTGTTACAAATGAAGGTTTCAAAGAGTCAATTTGAAAAAGGCACCCGGCAGTATCAGGTGCTTTCCGACTAGCCCATTTCTGCAAACCAAGACACCTGAGTTTCTCTTGGAGGCAAAAGAAAGTCTTAACTATGAGGTTATGGGTAAGGAATCCAGAAGAACATTGCTAAGCAGGTGGGGTTTTAAAATCCAAGGTTGCACTTGGTCACTTCTGTTTTGGAAGATCCCACCTGCCAAAGCAACCCTGTGCAAGTAAAATGGGGAATACCAGTAGAGTGAGTAATAGCTCCCAAACCAGGAGAAACAAAGTTCACCAATCGCAGCTGTTACTGCAGCAAATACCCAGACTGCCCTAATGAATGCAAGTTACCTTAAGTGGCATAATGTTAGCATTGGATCCATTCTTGTAGATCTCATTCATTGTGCGTTGAAGAGCCACTGCCTGCTGAGTCAGGTATTTCAAGTACTCAGAGCTTTCTTTGGTCTTTTCGTGGTGTTCTCCAAGCTGGCCAGAAATAATAATAATAAAAAAAAATTGTATCAGAACAAACCCCGAACTCTGCCTGAATCACAGCATCTAAATGGTTATTTGAGACCGCGTAAGATTTCACCTACTGAAACCCACTGGGACTGGATTGTGTCTCACCGTAGAATGAGTGCGGATGACCTGGTATAAAATGCAACCCTGCCTGCAGGCAGCTGCTTATCAAAGCTGTGCGCTTGCATCAAGTAGATGCATGTTCTCGCTCAGGTTTAGAGAGGTGTCCTCCACCAGGCTGAGCACGTTGTCAATGAGAGCGAGCTCAATCAATTGCCTGGCTTCTTTGTCAAACAGGTTTGCCCGAACACGTTGGCAGGTTTGCTGCGTCTCAGTGAGTTCTGCGAGCAAGAGGCTCCCCCCGGCCCAGGACTGGTTTGTGTCTTAGATTTGGAAGGGCGTTATCGAGAGTGAGAAGCGCACTCTGAATCTTGCCACTGCTTTCTCAGATCTTAGTGTTCTGCAGCAGCGATGAAGCCTGGAGGTGTTTCACGCAGACGGACGGGAGACCTTGTGGCAATACTAGGAAAGACTAGCTTTCTAAAGGCACGTGGTAAGACAACCACCTCCTAACAGTATAGGAGGAGTTCTCCACCAGCTGTTCGTACGAACAAGCCTCCCCCACGTTGTAAGATGCAGGACGGTTTCAGCACAGGGGCTTCGCACCGGAAAGCCGAATGGGGCAAGTGAAGCAAGCATAGGCCACTGACCTGATTTTTGTAGATTGTGTAGCCTTCCTTTTCATGCTGTAGAGCTGATCGGAATTCTGCTTTACTCTCGTACACTCGGGCTACCAAGTGATGGCTGCAATGGAAAGGAAGAGACGTGGATCTAGCTTTAATGAACGCATGGTCAATCAAGGGAGAAAGAGTTCTTCTGTGCTGCAAAGAGGTGCATGCAATGCTCAGTGCTAAGAACACAAGAACGGCCATACGGCTCAGATCAATGGTCCATCTAGCCCAACACTGTGGCCAATGCCACAAAAGGAATTAACAGAACAAGGCAATCATCAAGTGATCGATCCCATCATCCAGTCCCAGCATCTGGCAGTCAGGCTTAAGGACACCTAGAGCATGGGGCTGCATTTCTGACCATCTTGGCTAATAGCCAGTAATGGATCGATCCACCATGACCATAGCTAATTCTTTTTTTTTTTTTTAAGTTTTCACCTTCCCATCATCCCCTGGCAAGGAGTTCCACAGGTTGACTGAACAAGTACTTCCTTTTGTTTGTTTTAAATCTGCTGCTACCTCACCATCTCAGCTCAAGGGATGACCAGGGTCAAAGGAGGCGGCAGTGTTAGTGGTTACCCTCTCTCTGGTTAACTCTTCAGATTTATTCCATTCTAGGTTAGGAAATTACGCCTAAAACCTAGCAAAAGTAGATCAAAACCTCATCACTCCAGCCAGAGAAGAAAAGTCACCTCAGACTGGACTTGAGATGTTGATTTTTTGGTCACTTTCTGCTGCTTGGGAACAGGAAGCTTGTTTTCTGTTAAATGCCAGTTGTACGTCACGTGCTCAGCACTTCCAGGTAATGCTGAAGGCCATGAGAATATCTAATTGGTCAGGCTTCTCTCCCAGCCAGGTAATTACAGTAAGAGGAAACAACCCAGGGGCCTCCCCTTTCTAAAAGGGCATTTTGTTTTCTTGGAAAGCGAACACGTGAATCTCTGAATTAGCCAGCCCTGAGTCAGAATCTTACCAGAAAGACACAACTGGCAGCAACAGTGACAGCAAGAGCTGCTGATCCAAGTCACCTGGTTGTTCTCCAGTTGGGAGAGTCACCTTGGCTTGATCTCAGCAGCTCGAACATTCTTGGAATGGACAAAGCTTTCTACATTTGGCTTCATTATTCTAAGGGCGGTTCTGGATCTCAATGCACATCCTAGTCCCATGGAGGCATGCAGGAAGAGGTTCTCTGCAGAATTTGTATCCATCAATTGTTGGAAAACAAATCAGACTCGTGGGGGTGCTTCAGAAGATTTCTCTTCACCCTGACGAAGTGCAGACGGCTGCAGCGTGGGGGTGGCAATTCCGAGTGGGACAATGCCCACTGGCCAGTTTTTCAAGGGAGATGTCTGTAGCAATGGGTATTTACCCCATCATTTTAGGATCTGATCCTAAGAGGTGCCAAATGCTCTCAGCACCCAGTGGAGTCACAAAAAACCACTTCATAGGATCAAGTCCTTAACGGTGAAAGACAAACACAAACGATCTCTGTCTCTAAGCTAGTTCAGCAAGAACCAACCACCAGGGGCTTTCCATCATCTCAGTCCCAAAAGTACTGATGATATTTACCCCTCTCCTCCCACAGCCTTCACTTACTGTTTGCATTCTTACACAGTAAGCAGGGATCTTACTATGTTTGTGGACAACACCTAGCACCTATTGTGGTAGGTCCTACATGTAAATAATTCTAGACCCATGATTCTCAACCTTTCGAAGTAGCTATCCCAGACTCAGACGAATCAAGCATCGCTGCCTTCCAACTGAACTGGGCGGTCGAGCTCACGTTGCAGCAGTCATAAATGGTTGGGGGAAAAGAACGACATGAAAGAATGGAGGCTTGCACACAGCTGACCAGGGACAGCACTCATAAGCCAGAGTGGGGCCCAATCCCAGATGCGACGAGGATAGATTCACAGTCCAACTTTCCTATACAGCGTCACACCCCCGAAACACAAACTTCAACCCATTTCCCCAGACCGCGGCGCCGTACCTCAGTGCAACCTTCAGAGACTTGGAGCCGTGATACTTGGAGTTGATAGTCAGAGCATTCTCCAGGAATCGGAGGGACAGGTCGTATTCCATAACCCCGTGAAGCACCAAACCAATGTTGTTCTAAGGGCAATCACCATACACAGGTCAGAGAACAAGAGGGAGTTTCAAAAGGTGCCTCCTGACTAAGCCTTTTGAGCTAAAGACACAGAGAAATTTGTGGGCCTGTTATTTTTATTAGCTCTTTGTCGAGGGCCCCACAGAGATCAGGGCCCCATTGCACTAGGCACTGTGCACACACAACTAGAGACAAACTGTGCTCCAAAGAGCTCTGAGCAAGGCAGACAGAGGGGGTGAGAATGGAAGTACCCGCATTTTACGTACAGGCAGATTAAGTGACTTGCCCAAGGTCACACAGAAAGTCTATGGCAGAGCCGGGAACTGACCCCACATCTCCTGAGTCCTAGTCCAGTGCCTTAGCCACAAGACCACCCTTCCTCTCTACAGAACTACTATCTATGCGTCAGCAAGCTTGTTCCTTTCCCCACAGTGGGAAAGTAGGAGCAATAACGCACATTGGAAGGGATGAAGAGACATTTGCCTATTGACGGGATTAAAATAAGTGAACAAGCTTGACGGAGCCTAGACAAGGAGTTTACTCAGAAAGATCACTTACGTCTAAGAGTGCCATTTCTGGGTGGTCTTCTCCAAATACCAACAGCATGAGGTAGCGTGCGCGGTACAGCAAGTTTAATGCTGTGGAGAGTTGGCTGTTGGCAAAGCAATACAAAGCAAGGTGCATCTACAGTATAAGAAACATTCAAAAGGTTAAAAATGTGGCATCACATCCTCAGTACAAATAAACCAGTCTCCCTCCCACCTGCCCCCCTTTTGTTTGGGGCACTGAGAAAAGCACTGCCTTTAAGAATAAAAATAATTCAGGTTATAACCATTAGGAAGAGTTACTCATCTACTAGTCAACTTAAAGAAGCCTGATATGCCGTGTGAGATATAGTGCTGAGATACGGCTGTGTTTATATATATATATATATATATATATATAAAAAATAAACACA